TCAGCTTATCTATATACCCTTTTAGCATTGGTAATTTGTGTCTTTCAAGGAGTATGACCATTTCATTTATGTTTGTTGAGTTTATAGACATAGAGTTTTCTGTAAAATTTCCTTATTTTTCTCTGAATGTCTGTATGATCTGTAATGACATCCCTTCTATCATTCCTGGTAATAACCATTATATCTTCTCTTTTTTTCTTCATCAGTCTGGCTAAAAGCTCATCAATTTCACTGACGTTATTCAAAGAACTAGTCTTTATTTTCATAACTTTGTTCTTTTGTTTTTCTAATTTCAATTTCATTGATTCTATTCTTTATTTCTTTACTTTTAGTTTAATTTAACTTTATTTTTCTAGTTTTTCTATTTTGGGAAAGTAGATTGCAAATTTGAGATATTTAATCTTTTGTATTATAAGCACTTATTGCTGTAAGGTTTCCCCAAAAGGGCTCACTTAGTTGCATTCCACAAATTTTGATATGTTATGTTTTAATTTTTGTTCAATGCAATATAATTTTTAATTTCCTTTGGGATTTACTCTGACATATGGGTTATTCAGAATATTCATATATTGTCTAACAAATTGAAACATTTGGGGAGCTTCCAGATGTTTTCCTGTTACAATCTTATAATTTAATACTGCTATGGTCCAAGAACATATTTTACATGATTTCAAATCTTTTTGTACATATTTTAAATTATTCATGATCATATGTGTGTGCATGCATGAGAGAGAGAAAAGAGAAACAGGCACCCTCGATGGGATCTCATCATGCCATAATCCCTGTCATAGCTCTCCAGCTCATCAGGATCTTGGGAGTGTATGCACCCAGAGTGTTTTGAAGCTCGCCCGGGGCTGTCCACGTGACCTCCAGCACTGCAGTTCAGTATGCCAGTGTGTCACCAAGATTGGGCCCTAAATCTTTAAAATTTGCTGAAATTTGTGTTATGGCCCATATTCTTGGTCTATGTTGGTAAATATTCCAAATGTACTTGAAAAAATGTGTATTCTACTGTATAAGGCAAAATATTTAATAAAAATCAATTAGATTGACTTGACTGCTAGAGATATTCAGAACATTTTTTTTTTTAGGGTGCATGTGCTTGCCAGAAAGACAGAGACGGAGAGACAGAAAGCGAGAAATCACCCCCCACGGAGGGAGGATGGTCACACCACAATCCCTTCTCCTCCATTCTCTTCTCCTGATCTTGGGCACGCACACACACATGCCCAGAGTGAGTTTAAGTCACCAGGTCCAGGGCTCAAACTGCGGTCGACTACATGGGAGTCAAGTGACATAGCCATTAGGCTAACTGCTGGTCCCAAGATAGTCAGAACTTCTATACCCTTACTGATCTCTCTTTTCTGTGGATTACAGAGAAAGCAGTGTTTAAGTCTTCCTGTAACTATGGATTTGTTGATTTTCTTTCAGTTCTATCAGATTTCACATCATGTATTCTGAAGCTGTGCTACTGCTTTCTTGACGAACTGACCCCTTCATCATTATGTAATGTCCTTCTTTTTCTGTAGCAAGCTTCCTTGTTCTTAAGGCTACTTGAGAAGGCTACTTGCCTGCTACTAATACAACTCTTTGGTACCAGCAGATGGCATAATGGCTACATCACTGGATTCCCATGTAGTCAATGGCTACATCACTGGGTTCCCATATAGTCAACTCCCAGACCTGGTGGTTTAAAACTCACGCTGGATGCGTGTATGTGCATGCCAAAAATCCTGGGAGGAGAATGGAAGAGAAGGGATTGTGATGTAGCCATACTCCCTGGGGGGTGATTTCTCACTTTCTGTCTCTCTCTGACTCTCTCGTGAGAACACATACACTATAGTAAAAATCTGTCTCTAAAATAAATTTAAAAATACATACATACATACATACGTACTGCTCTTATAGCTTTCTTTTACTTAGTAATTGTATGTCATTTTTCTATGCTTTTTTACTCCTAACCTATTTATGACTGATATTTAAGGTTTATTTCTTAAAGACAGCAAGAAGTCAGGTCTTTTTTTTTCCTAATCCCGCCTAACTCAAACTTTTAATTAGAGTCTTTAGCCATTTAAATTTCACGTAATTAATTACGTATATTTTAATGTGCTACTAATTATTGATGTGGTTTGTTTAAAATCTACCATTTTGTGAGCCAGTGGGTGTGTAGTGGTTGAGGTACTTGACTCCCTTGTGATAAACCAAGGTTCCAGTCCTCAACCAAGCAGCTTAAAACTTATGCTGGGTACATGTGTGTGCATGCCTAGAATTTCAAGGGGAGAATGGAGGAGAAGGATTGCGGTATGGCCAGCCCCCATGGGGGGATGATTTCTTGCTTTCTGTCTCTCTCTGTCTCTGTGTTGCTTTGGCAAACACATGTGCCCTATAGCAAAAATCTCTCAAAAAAAATAAAATAAAATCTATCATTTTGCTCATTGTTTTCTGTATGTCACATATATTCTTCATTCTTTTTTCTTTAGTTTCTGCCTGTTTTTGATTTGAGTACTTCGTTTATTCCTTTTTATCCTCATTATTATTATATTATTTATACCTTTACAAAAACTTTTAAATTGCTGCCTGAGAGTTCACAATAGGTATGCTTAATTAATCAGAGTCTACTTGAAATATGTCAAATAAAATATTCAGTAGATCTTTTTTGAGGAACTTGTTTCAAAACATATAACTTGAGTTAACAAGCTCCCAAATGGCTTCTGTTTAACAACTAAAAATAGAGTACAGGACCAGCCCCATAGCACAGTGGTTGAGCACAGCACATAGGAAGTAGGACCCCACATGGCCAACTACAGATCAAATCCTGGCCCCAGAGGTTTGAAAAACATGCTGGGCATGTGTGCATGTATGTCCAGAATCATGATGGGATACAGAAATTGAGAAAAAAAGGACTGCAATGTGACCATGCCTATTAGGGACGTTTTCTCTCTTTCTTTCTATCTGGCTAATAAACATTCCCTTTGGCAATTAAAAAAAGTGGTTCTAAAAACATTGTATGAAATTAAAAATTCTTATTCTTATTAACTGAAGGAAGTGAATAAACCAAAAAATATCATTGCCATAACTAGCAAAAAAAATTATCCAACAATTTATATAGCACTATGTAATTCAAAATATATTTCCTTGTTTTGCCTCAAACAATGCTGTAACAGTTATTATTACTATTTCATTTGATGGAAGTTAACAGGAAAGATAGAAGTAGATTTGAATTTAGTAACTGAAGAACTTTTAGGCTGTGTCTGAAGTTTTAGACATATTTTTGCTAAGTTCTAGCAGACTCGTTTTTTTGTTGTTGTTGTTAAAGGGCATGTGTGCTCACCAGACAGACACAGAGAGAAAAGGAAAGGAGAAAGAACCTCCGATAAGGAATGATCATGTCACAATCCCTTCTCCTCCATCTCCCCCTCCTTCGGAATTCTGGGCATGTGAGCACATGTGCCCAGTGCGTTTCTAAAGTCACTGAGTCACATAGTTGACCACATGGTATGTGGCTACCTTAACCACCAGGCCATAGATCCAGGCCTAGCAGACATTTTAAACCAGTGGGGAAATAGCACTGTTAGTCATTGTTATTTTCATTTAATATAAATCTAAGTAGTAGGTTGTGAAAGTATCATTTGGCAGATGATAAAAATGAAGTTAATCAAAGTGACTTATTTAAGAACATAGAGCTAATAAGCTGAAGAGCCAACATTAGAACCAAGGTTCTCTTTTTTTATTTTTATTTTTTTCCTTTATGCTATAGGGCACATGTGCTCACCAGAGACACAGAAAACAAAAAATCACCCTTCGGGGGGATGGCCACACTGCAATCCCTTCTCCTCCATTTTCCTCTTGGGATTTTGGGCACACATGCACACACGTCACGCGTGAGTTTTAAGCTACCAATTTGGGACTCCAATTATGGTCGACTACATGGGAGTCCAGTGAAATACCATTATGCCATCTGCTGGTCCCAGTACCCAGGTTTTCTAAATTTATGCTAAGGAGAAAAAAAAAATCTAGAAGTTGAGAATAGAATTTAAGGCCAAGGAGGACAGAGCTATACAGAGTGACTTGGACCTCAATTCTCAGCTACTGGGTAGGACTGATTTAAAATCAACTGAAAGAAATTCTCGATATTCATATTTTTAAAATGCATCTAACTAAAAAGCAAAGTATATATAGGGCCTGCCCCATAGCCTAGAGGTTAAAGGAGTCAGATCCTACATAGCCTACCAGTTCAAATCCCAGCCCCAGTGGTTTGAAAAACTCAGGGTGCAGTGGTATGCACGTCAAAATCCCAACAGGATAGAGAAATAGAAGGGAAGAGATTGTGGTGTGACCATGCACCATTGGGGGATGTTTTCTTCCTTGTTCTGTCTCTCCATAACTCTCTGGTAAGTAAAAAAAAAAAAAGAATATATGCACAGACACACACACACACACACACACACACACACACGTCCTTAAAACTAATCTAATATTCTAAATATTCAATGTAAATTACATGAATCTTCCCATATTGATAAATGAACATCAGGGCCAGACGTAGCATAGTGGTTAAAGTGCTGGACTCCCACATGACCAACCATGGTTTGAGTCCTGACCCTGGAGGCTTGAAACACAACAGAGGCATGCCCAAAATCCCAGGAGAGGACTGAAGGAGAAGAGACTGCAGCATGACTGTCCCCCCTGGGGGATGATTTCTCACTTTCTGTCTTTCTGTCTCCTTCCATCTCTCCAGTGAGTGTGTGCACCCTACAGCAAAAATATCTCTCTTAAAAAATAATAATAATAAAGTATAAAAAGACGATTGAACATAGACAAAACCACCAGACTCTACTTGCCATTAGCTAAGAACATATGTTACAGTACTTAACAAATGTGTAGGTATAATGGAAGTTCAAAACTATAGTGACATTGCAAATAGAGCAGCCAAAAAAAACCTCATGTTAATCTCACTGAATGTTTTCTCTAACAAGATATAAGCAAGTATACTTTCTTACCATAATATTGTAGTTAATATTAATGATCTCATCTTCATAGGGAGCACTCACAGGTTTAACATCATTCTTTCCTTTCCTTACAACATCATAGATGGGATTTCGAGGTTGATGGTTTTGTAGAATTTTTTTCATTTGCTTTTCCAGAAGTTGTGGTGCATCATTAATTATTTCAAAAACTCCATAATCCATATTAAATCTAATCGCCTCTGGAAAGGTCTGCAATATAAAAGTATGGAAATGAAAAACTTGTTTATTAAGAGAGATTTCTGCTATAGGGGACATGCACTCACTGGAGAGACAAAGAAACAAAAAACGAGAAATCATCCCCCAAGGGGGATGGCCACGCCGCAATCTCCTCTCCTCCATTCTTCTCTCGGGACTTTGGGCACAAACACACACACACACACACACACACACACACACACACACACACACGTGCTCCCAGCATGAGTTTTAAGCTGTTGGGTCTGGGAGTCAGACTGAAGATGACTACATGGGAGTCCAACGATGTAATTATTATGCCATCTGCTGGTCCCCCAATTAAAAACTTTTTTAAACTCAGAAGCTCATTGTCTCTAAGAAGAGTTAATATTTACATATGTGGATGTATACCTACACAGAATTCTGGGGGGTTTTTAAAATAATTATTTATTTATTTAATTTTGTTTATTCATTCATTTAATTTGACCAGAGAGAGATACAGAGAGAGAGAGAAAGTGAGAAAGCAAGCCACAAGGTCCGGTATTTGAACCGTAGTCCGCCATGTGGGAGTGTCCAGCGCCCCAACCACCATGCCACCTGCTGGTCCCACAGAATTCTGTTTTTAATCATTTCTTCTTCCCTATTTTGAGCTAGGTAACCTCTTAGCTAGAAGAGGTGAAGGAGTCCATTGAACCTAAGTACTTATGCCGTGAGATAAGTGTCACGGTATGCTATGGCAGAAATTCTCTTTATTTAATCATCTTACCTTTGTGATTCTTTGAAACTGGAGAGAAATATATGCCTCGTCTCTATGAAGCATTATTAGCCTCTTAGAAAGAGTAGATTACTAAGAAACAACAGTAAAGGAAGAAGAAATAATGCTCCTGTTACCTCTTTCATCCCCTAGAGGCATGAAAGCTATCTCCTTCGCACAAAAGGAGAAAATTAAGTACAATGTGTTCTTTATTTAAGACTATTTCAACACCATTCCTCACACTATGACAAAAGGGGGGGGGGAGTGAAAGAAAATAACATTTCTGAGCTGTTTTCAGTAATTCTAGATGCTGCCAACTTTTATTTAAAGCCAGCCAGTTAATATACAACAGTCAGGAGTCCTTAGTTTGGATGCCAGCTTGCCAATAAATAGCTCTGAGACTCTGGGTAAATCCTTGAACATCTTTGAGCCTCCATGAGAAGTAAAGAGTGGGCCCAGCCGCAGTGGCGAAGGTGGTCGGTGCTGTTCTGTGATCCTGCAGCCACATGGAAAGCTGTGGTTTGGATCTTGCATAGACCTGAAACACGACATGCATGTATGTCCATGATCATGTCTGCCTGGAGGCCCTGGGGGGAGACAGGGATCACAGTATGACAAGAAAATGTTGAGGGTAACTGTTTCTCTCTGTCTAATGAAAGAAATAAACTTAAAAAAGAAGAAGTAGTGATGGACAGGCCCTATCGCTTGCTATTTGTCCTCCAAATCTAGAATTGGGAACTTTTATCAGATACTGTCAGTGACTTACTTCTGTCTATGTTTAGCCAAGTGGAGAAGATAATACATTCTGTCCCCTTTATTATTTAATAAGTGGCAGGATTTCAAGATAAAATTGGAGCTATAGGGACAGCTGGTGGTACGGTGATTGGGGCAGCTGGATCCCACATGGCCAACTGTGTGGTTTGAGTCCCAGACCTGGCAGCGTGAAAAACACACCAGGCACATATGTATATGTGTGTGTGTGCCCAAAATCCTGAAAGGAGAAAAGAGAAGAAGGGATTATGAGGGTGTCATCTCTCTCTCCCTTGTTCTGTCTCTCTCTGGCAAGCGCACAAGCCCACTAGCAAATTAAAAAAAAAAAAAATTGAGGGGGAGTTAGAAACGTGTATGTATCCATGTATGTATGTATGTATTTATCTGTAGTTGCCAGAGGTCACCTATGCTTCCTGAGAGAGGGAGAAAAAGAAAGCAGCCCCCAATGGGACATTGATTACACCACAACCCTTATCCCCTATTTCTTCATCCAGTCAGGATTTGGGGTACCCGTACATACTACCTGTATGTTTTTCAAGCTACCAGGTTGTTTTTCAATCCTTCCAAGGTGCCAGGACTCAAACCACATGGAATACAGCTTCTCTTCACCACTAGACTATGGATTCAGCCCTATATATTTTATTTTAAGGCTGGTTGTCTCTCTTCCTGAGGAATTTTAAGTGTATAGACAATAGAGTCTGAGCTAAATAAGAATCTATAGTTCAAAAAGTCTCAGAACTAATATCTCCCCCCACAATGACAAGTATAGCTCAATGAATAAATAAGATTAGCATTAAATTGTGTATAAAGTTTCATGAATAAATATATTTTATTAGTTGCCCACTGCATCTGTCTTCCAAACCTAAGATCAAAAGGCATCACTTACCAAGACATCATAAATATTATCCATAAACTTGCTATTGCTGAACCAGACAGATAAGAGTATGCTGATATCAGACACCAGATTTATCTGGCTGGAGAAAAGAAATGAATTAAATTTGAAAAAGAATGGATATCCCAGGGGCCGGCAGGTTGTGTGGTGGTTAAGGCACTATCCTCCCACATGGCCAACTGTGGTTTGAGTCCCAGACTTGTCAACTTGCTTTCTCATTTTCTCTTTCTTTTTCTCTCTCTCTCTTTCTCTCACTGATCAAATTAAAATGTAATAATAATGATAAATAAAATGAAATAAATAATTCTTAAAAAGGGGTCAGCAGGTGGCATCGTGGTTAAGTGCTGGACACTCCCACATGGCTGACCACAGTTCAAGTCCCAGACCTGGTAGCTTACTTTCTCACTTCCCCTCTCTCTCTGTGTCTCTCTCTGATCATATTAAAATAAATAAAATTAAATAATTCTTTTTTTAAAAAAAAATGAAAAAGAATGGACATCCGGCCAGCAGGTGGCATGGAGGTTTAAAAGGCTAGAGCTCACATGGCTGACGTTGCAGTTTCAAGTCCCAGACCAGGTGGCTTGTAAGTTATTTTGAGTGTGTGTGCATAAACATGTGCTCAAAATCCTGAGAGAGGAGTGGAGGTGAAGGAACTGCGATGTGGCCATCTTCCCTGGGAGCTGCTTTCTCTCCCTGTATCTCTCTGGCAAGGTATGCACCCTATAGCAAATTAAAAAGAAAGAAAACAAAATGAATGGACATCAAATATTAATGGGGGTGGACTAAAGAATGTGGAAGACCATCTGGAAAAGATTTCTTTTAGTTCTGAGTATCCATGGAACAAGAGAACAAATTTGACTTTTATTATTGTTTTCCTTTCTTTTTTCTGCCTCCTACCCTCACACCTGTTATAGAGGAACACAAAGCTTTGATAACTCAAAGAATGCCAGTTAGTGGGGCCAGCAGGTGATGTGGTGGTTAAGGGCGCTGAACTCCCACACAGCCGACTGTGCTTCAAGTCCCAGACCTGATGGGTTGCTTTCTCACTCTCTCTCTGTCTCTCTCTCTCCCTCTCTCTCTCTCTCTGTCTTTTGCTCTCACTCTGCCCCTTTCTGGTCAAATTAAATAAACAAAATAATTCTAAAAAAAAAAAAAACAAGAATGTAAGTTAGTTAGTCAACGGACCAAAAAAATTACCTACTAATCTAGTAAAAAATTATAAACTAGGGACCAGCAGTTAGTGTAATGGCTATGTCGCTGGACTCCCACGTAGTCGACTGCGGTTCAAGTCCCAGACCCAGTGGCTTAAGTTCACGCCGGGCGCGTGTGCGTGTGTGCCCAAGATCCCAAGAGGAGAATGAAGGAGAAGGGATTGTGGCATGGCCACCCCCCTGGGGAACTGATTTCTCGCTTGCTGTCTCTCTGTCTCTCTGTCTGTCTGGTGAGCACATGCTCCCTATAGCAAAAATCTCTCAAAAAAGGAAACAAAATTATAAACTAGATAATATAGACACTGTTAATACTCTTGAGACCCTCAGTAGCCAATTTTACTTAATAGTAGCAAATAGTTGAGGTACCGTTGGCAGAAAAAACAGGGGTGATAAAACTACTCTATGAAGTTATCTGCCATGTACTAAGCATATGCTAGACATTTCAAATGCACTATCTTGAATCCATCTTATTCCTGAGATAAGCTCTTCATAAAAATTGATCTTAAGGATGGTTAAATGATGGCCTCTGGACTCAGAGCTACAAAGTGCTAGATTAGAGCTGTAGAAACAAGTCTGTCTGGTCAGTCCTCCTTCTTTGTTACATTCCCTCACCTATGATAAAAATCAGCAAGTACTGACCACTTTCCCTAAGCCAAGGACTTTGCTAAGCAATAATCTTATGAAGTTAGTGTAGCTGGAATTCAAACCCAACGTGTTTTGATTCCAAATCCTATGGTCTTATTTATTCTAGTTCCGCTAGTAAAGATGAAGACATGAAGCAGGATGATATATGTGGGTAATTCTAAGAGGTTCAATGCAGTTGGAATAAAATAAAAATAGCTATCATTGGAATAGTTTTAAAAACAGAGAGGAAAGGCTTGAAGTAGATGGGATCAGACCGTGGAAGACTTGGCATAGCATTTGAAGAAGTACAGACTTAACTTAATCCTCTGGGAAACAGGGCATCATGGGAAAATGCTAGCAGGGAAGTAACAGCTACTTCTGATTTGCGTTTTAGGAAGATTCCCCTGGGTGCAGTCTGGAGGTGTACTGTTTGCTTGCCAGCTCATGAGCGGGTAAGGCAGAATGCTCACACTCCATTAGCAGAACCATCACCACCCACCACCACCAGAGCCACAGCAATCACAACCATGTTTAGAGTGGTGATCATTAACTCTAGATGGGATGCTATCCCCGTGGTGCATAGGTGCCAGGGCAAGCATGAAGGCAGAAAGTTAGCAATTACTTTTACATTCAACTTACGAAGCAAAACTGCAGCTGAGAGAGGTTAAATCATCTCTTCATGGCTTTACAACAAGGCCCCTAATGAGCTTTCTAGGAACTCTGGAGTTATGACAACAAAAGTGCTTTAAACAGCGGGTGGACA